GTACGATTTTTTTTATTTTTTTTTTTTTTTTAAAAAAGATATTAAATTTAAATTTTGAAATAAAGAACAAATGAATATATACATTTTTAATTTAAAAACAAATATACATATATAAATAAATTAATAAAAGTATATCGTTTATTCTTCGTTTAAGATAAATAATTATAGTTTTTGCATGTGTTTCCGAAAAAATCCTTCCCCTCCAAACTTTTAAAAATTCAGAAAATTAAATGCAGGTATTAATGATGTAAGCAATTTTAAACTTGACATTTGTGAAAGAAAAAAAAGTCTCTAGTACTCCAGGACTCCCCACTTCTAAAAATCGATAAATCAATATTTTTCGAAGCTAATGAAAGTTAATATGCAGCATCTTTTTTCCTGTTTTTAAAATTATTACAAAAAAGTTTTTTGAATCCTAATTTTTTATGAGCGAACCAGTTTTTTTTGTTTTTTTTTATAATTTAGTGCCTGTTTTGGTGATCGGATGAATGCACGTTTACCTGAATGTCTCATTGACTTTTTTTTGGTACATTCTGTTTTTGATATCATGTCCCCTTTTTATGAGGTAGGCGATCATGGCTCTCCAAAATTGCCATAACTTCTCCAGTTTTTAATTCAGACCATTCTAGTCTAGACTGACGAGAGAACCAAGCAGTCAAGTCAACTATGTTATTTAATCCGTAAAGCGAGAAGAAATACAAGAAACGCACTAGATTAGACCAGAATTTGAACTCGACTTGCCGATTCCACTTTCAGTGTCGCTAACCGTTACGTTACCTACGCATTTACTGTTGTTTTTTTTGTTTTTGTTTAAGCCATACCTGTACCGACCAACAGCTCGCATTTTCGATTCAAACATCCAGTCATTCTTTCTCGCTTATTATCAGCAGACTTGCAATCTCACTTTTATTCGCTTTTATCACAAAAACACAATGAAAATCAATAAAATTACCATTAAATCATTATCTAGATCGGTTTCGTTTACCGTTTACTTACTACTTTCTTAAACAAAATCTTTTTTCCGGTATTTTTATTGATTCTCTTGTCAATAAGAGTAATTTTAAAATTAAGTCCGAATTGTTGGCATATTCTTGGTATCATAATGCGATGAAAATAATTATTAGACTGCATTCAAATATCTAATGATTGCTTTATTCTCTCTTACTCATAAAATTGGATTTGTGTGACTGACGCAGTGATACATTGTGGGGAGGTGGTAAATAAATATCTATCGTGTGAGTCCGCCAGGTAAACAGTAAAAAAAAATGGAGTTTCTACAACTGTGGTAGCTACGATGTTAGCGAATGTATCTTGAAAACCACTTGTCACAACTGACATCAAAGCAATTCTTCGGTTCTAGGGAAGAGAGTTCGAGTTACACCGAGAGCTTATTCTTTATTTTCTATTTACGTTGGTTTATCGCGGTGTTATTAATTTGTCACAATTAATAGTAAATAAATTTAAGTAAACAAATTCCTTGAAAAAAGTCCCAATAATTGTGTTAAGAGTTAAACACTAACAGTTAAAAAATTGCAAAATATTTATTTACATTTTTTACAAGGTCTTTTAGTTTTTTAAAAAACTAAAAGACCTTGTAAAAAATGTAAATATTTCGTACAACCTTTTTTTAGATACAAAAAAACTTTTTTTGTATGTAAAAAAAGGTTGTACGGAATATGATTTTTGTTTTTGTAGATGTATCTTTCTTTTCACAGTAAAGAGTCTTGATATTTTAAAAGTTGTAAAACTGGAAATCTGATATAGAGAAATTTCATACATTTTATTTTTAGTTTAGTAAATGTCATTACTCAGTTTACACAGGAGAAAAAAGTAAGTACGAACATATTGACTTAGATCAGGGGTCACCAAACTACGCGATGTCAGTCCATCTGTCTGCTGTTGGACTGTGTCACAAACAAATGGTATATGAAATAAGGCCAAATTTATTGTCTATAGTACCATTTAATGTTGACTCCATTGGGTTACTGTGTTTAAAATAGTTGACTATCGTCATAGTTATTTTTATGATTTGAGAGTTCATACAGGTTTGTTGTGTTCCTTCTGGTTGACGGAAATTAATTTGTTGCATTCATCCTTTTTTTTCTTTTTTTCTCTTCTGGAGTTGTACGTCATGTCAAAATCACAGCCGATGAATCACCAATCCTTGCGTCTCGAACTGCTTCCTCTCCACTGCAGCGTCTCTAGTCTCGTACATGGTTTTCTTCTTTTTATTGGGGCTGACACATCTGTGTGTCCCGTTTGATTTTTGGCGGGACGTGTTGATATTTTTTATGACGTTCACTGACCCACATAAACTAAGTCCGGGTTCATGTCCGTTACCGAGGATAGGAACAATAGAGGAAAAAGGAAATATATAAAAGAGGGAAAGTTTTCTTTGTCACTCACTTAGTAAAGAGGAAAGTGTGTATTTTCGTATGGTGTTATTACTACCTAATCCTACTACAATATAATTATTTATATAGAATTATCAACAGATTGTAGTTAAACTCACCATGTAAAAAAAGTTAGAATAAATGTAAGTAAAAATGCCAAAATTTGTTCAATCTGATTTTTGCATCTGACAGTATAAGTTTTAGATTGATTCGCAAGCAAGTGACTTGTTGAAAGAGAAGCACAGAGAAGGAAAACTTCTTGAATTTAATCGCTTCTTACCTAATGATGACTTTTCAAAGTTGAAGAAAAACTTATGTCTGTGAGCAAACATTTTAAAAATGTAAATTGTAAAGTCAGCACATCGGACGAAGTTGACTGATGAACATTTGAAAGCAATTCTCTTGGTTGGATGCAGCAATTCCAAAGCAAATGTTCTTAAAATGTAAATGCCAGTTTCACAAATCTCACTCCTTTTTTGTTGCTTAGTTTATGAGATTTGGATGTGCGAACTGGGTGTGATAACTATTTTATTGTCAATGTCGGCTTCTTTGATAACTTTTTGGTAAATTAAATATATTTCTTGCTTTTATTTTTGTGTAAGTGTATTGAAGAAAATGGTTGCCTGGGCCGTGCCCGTCATTCTCTTAGCTATCTGGCCCACTGTGAAAAAAGTTTGGTGATCTCTGGCTAAAAAGCTGACGGATAATTTCAGTGGTCAGTGAGCATTTTTGGTCCCGAGCTGCTCCGCATATGAATGAATAAATTAATGCTAAGATGAATCTAAGGGTATCGTCTTGTTGAATGCGCATTGAATAGTCAAAACAAAACTGTACACGCAAGGGGATGTGCCTAGTATTTATTATTTAATATTCGTTAAAATAAAATTTGCTATTATATTTAATAATGGTTTCAATGAATGTTAAATGTTTGGAGAATTGTAATATGAATTTTCTGTCATCTATTGAAAAGCTTTGTTAACTAATTTCTTTCATTTCCGTTCCATTTTTTTTATGGCGCACCTATTGAGACCGTTCATTAGCAAATCTGTAGTAATATTCCAAAATTACAGTGTATACTGATTTCAGAGGTATTAAAAAAAAGTCGCACAAAATTAAGACCAGTACACACGCACTCTCCAAGCAAAAACCACCGAACATAAAACTTAAAATAAGATTATGTTACGGACGTAGTAGAAAACAATCGCCATTGGTTTGAGTAAATTAAAAAAAAAAGAGCTTGTATCCCTTAAAACGTAAATACGAGACTTTGCAACAGGTCATAGCCATTTAACTCAAAATGGAAGCTCATGTACACCAAGTGACTCATTTTACACAAAGAGAGAGAAATGAAGCGGATAGAGCTCGAAAGACTCACTGACAACTGAAAGTACATGCCAGCTTTCAAAGTCAATACGCTTTAAGCGGCTTGTAATTGATTTTCTCTTGTAAATTGTCAGTAATGTATGAACGTGTAATAATTTTATCGATATCAGACATATTTTCATTTCTAGGAGCTTTTCAAATATTAAGACTGTTTACTGTGGAAAGATACAAGAAAAAAAAACTCATCTACTCATACACATACAAAAAACTCTTGTAAAAATAAATAAATTGCAGTTTTATATTTTAACACACTCAAGGGAAATTCATTTTCTATATTAATTGTAATAATGACATTTTTAGTTTTAGAGTAGGTTAATCATTGCGACTCAGAAACAGTGAATAGTGCTCAAATCTGGTAAGAACACCAAGTATCATTTTTATAGTTCATTCTATTTAGACATTAATTATTATCGTTACTGTACCCAGTTTCATTGTCACTCATCTTGTCATTAATACGTTAATAACCAAGATATAAAAAAGAAAATGGTGTTCCGCAGAAAATGCACGAGCTCTAATTAAATTAATTCTCAAACAAATGAGAATTCATATTTCATAATCAAAAAATTATCTGAAAATATAAAAGCACTTATGTGTCTTATATTCATTGTTATTTTTTATTTGAAATTATTTTGCTTTAGTCTGATTTTCCTTAAAGTACTTTATTACACTATATTTTTTCTCTTTTTATTTATTTTTACTATTCTTATCGTCTTGGAGAATCTCTCCGAATTGATGAATTATTTTCTCTATTTTGAACTTCCGTAGATAGCAAGGGTTAATCATTCATCCCATTAGAAACCGTGCCAGCTGTCGCTGTGCATTCTGGGAAAACAGCACTCTCGTATCCGCCATATTGACATGGGATGATATTTATCGAACCCTGCAGTTGTTTATTTCATGAAGATGATGTATAATTTTGGCGGTCAGCAACGGCAAGAATTGTATTATCAGCGTTATCAGTCACTACAGTAAAAAAACAGCCAACAATAATTTAGCTGCTTTACCATTTTATATAATTTCTGTTGATTATTATTTTTAACCTCCCACGTCCCTGGTTTGTGGTGCATGTATATCCCTTACTCCACAGCTGGATCTCTTGTGGATATTTACCCGTGCATTTGTTTATGTTGAAAGGAGGCAGTGTACTCCAAAAAAATGAGTTCTGTGGATAGCAAGAAAACAAAACGTAGGAAAAATAAGAAAAACACGGCTGTCAAAAACGTGATGGGTTTAAATCATGGTCCAAACACTACCACCACAACTACTACTACGACGACTACGACTTGCAGCTCCAGCACAAAAGTAGCTTCTTCTTCAACCTCTTCTTCATCAGTAACAATATCGCAACAAACATCTTCACAACAAACTATAAAAGACCATCCCGATGTGAGTTCAGTATCTATGTATCTATTTTATTTTAATTTTTGTAAATAAATGTCTGATTTTTAATCCCATTTTTTAAACAACCCACTGTGTTTATTTTCTCCCAGAAATAAGTGGCTTTAAGAATATATTTATAAAATTTTGTCTCTTTAAAATCTATAATCACCTCTTGAAATAATCTATTCATTAAATATGTTTAGTGCTTTAATATTTATTTTGAATGATGTATAAATTAATGCACAAGAAGAATACTCAATCAAACCCCTTTGGCAAAAGAGTTCCATAGAAAAGGGGAGCTTATAAAGCGTATACAGTAGGTAATGTCACCTAGATTTTCTATGTATACTGGAAAATGATAAATCGATATTATTTAGGAAACGGTAAGTGGGTTAAATTGAAACTGAGATGTAAATTTTATATGTAGCTTAAAAACAAATTGATCTAAATTATTTTTTGTTTTGTGAAGTTAACTCACCAGCGTCTCTCGAAAGACAAGTAACAAAACCAATTGTAAGAAAGAGAGAAAAAAAAGGTAAATAACTTTAGGATGTTATCGTTATAATCAATTGATTTTTGTTAGAGAACGGGACTTTACTTTTAATTGATTTCTTAAATTTAGTTTTCGTACCACGTGATACTGATGAGCTCTCTCTCCTTTCTCCATTCACTCATACAGGCTTGAATTTTTGTTTTCACTGCTCTTTAAAAGTAAATAGTTGCACATATGCTTCTTGCTTTCCCAAAACTTCTATAATGTTGCCACTTGTTACTCTCGATAGGAATTGGGACAATAATAAGTTACTAGTTTCATTTTACTCAATATTTTTGAGTTACTGTGAATCCGTTAGTATTGATGTCACGTGATTGTGTCGCCATTTTGAGAACGAAATCTGACGTAAGCCATGCCAATGTCAATTCTGTGTGAACGACATCGACCACAGTTTTTACTCTTTTATTTATTCTTTGGCAAATTTAGGAATCTTTTACCTTCCAAGTAAATGTGTAGATATCAATGTTTATATTCAACAGCATGTAAGTTTTGTTCGTTAACGAATCTTTCTCAGATTGCACAGTGAAGAAGAGAGGAGTCATGTTTTCATGACTCAACATTTAGGGAAAACAAAAAAAAATAATCAATCTTTTTAACAAAATGAGTTAATAGCATTATATTACGAAATATTGATTCGTGTTTAATTTCAATTGACTTTTATGTTTTTGTTTTGTTTTTTGTTTTTTAAATTAAGAACAATTTTACTAAGAGGATGAAGAATTCTAACTGCTGCGTACCTGCATTTATCATCGACTATGGCAGAACGGTGTAGCAGTAGTCAAACTAATAGTGCATTCGTACTGAATTTAATATTTATTCTTCTTGCATTCCAAATATTATCTTATATTATGTGGCAATTCTTTTAATGTCGAAGGAGAAACTTATTTTTCCAAATCTAAAATAGTAGTGAGTAATTCTATGTGTATGCATTCACTCAAAAATCGATGAAAACATCACCAGATTCACATCATCCTCTTCTGCAGCTTTTTTACCTACCAAACTTCGTCAACAGTAACACGCTAAAAAACTAAATTACTGTTATGGAGAAGTAGATCTCTTCCTGTTGTATGGAAGTCTCCTGATAACTAAATGAATTTCAATCAATATTCTAATATTTTTCTCCAAAAGAACATTGTTAACTATTTTAAACAGTAAAACAATCGGTAGCTTCTTAACGTAGCAGCAAAAGATGTTAAATTTTAATAATTTGTATGAGTCTTCCTTAGCCTTCTTTAAATAATATTCGACCTAAAAGTGAGTAGCAGACTCAAGTCTATGATTCGACTTCACTCTCATTGTTTTTTGGCAGATGTCCACTAGTGTGTCACTTGGTGCGCTTCTTGTTTGGTTTTTCCAACATCCAACTACTCAACCTAATTTACATGATACTTAATAATAGTACTTATTAAAAAACAGTTTCCAGCTTAATTGATGATAGCATCTTCTCAACACGCAGCTTTGATTCAGTTGAGTACAAGTAAATCACTTTATATTTCATTTTCTTTTCTATTTGTCATTTTTATGTTTAGAATTTGATTTAAATATATATTTTTAACAGTAAAATGAATTTTCATCAATACTTGGGCACTTGTTGAATAAATAAATGTAAAACCTATACTCACATCATTTGTTTACAATTTATTTTTTGCATAAAAATTGATTATAGCAAATATTTAATAATCAGAAAGCCAATTTCTCTCCAACATTGTGCTTATAATCTGTTGCATATTCAAATCCCTTGTGAAGTTTATGGGCAATTGAAAAAATAGTTTTCAGTTGCATTTCATTGTTTTATTTCAGGCAGTGCAAAACCAAATGATAATTTAATATTTAAAAAATTTGATTATGATGAGACCTTTATCTTCTGAGAATTTCATTTCAATCAATAACCTTCTTATTTCTGATTAAATCAAAATCTGTATTTTTTATCACTCTTGGTTTAATTCTCAGATTCTGTAGTGTTTATTTTGAAAGGTAAAATAATTTTTTCCTGAAGTTGGAATATATTATTTTGAAAAAAACTTACATAATTCTCAATTCAATGTGAGTTTTTAAATGATTCTATCAATTTTGGTTTTAATGCTTATGTTAATTTTATTTTTTTAATATTTGATAAAGTTGTGGAGTTTTGAGGTTTAACAATTTTATAGTATTGTTCCATAAAAGTTAAGAACTTTTAAATGATTATGACTATTGAAACAGCTATTGGCTTGTCTTGTAGCTAATATAGTTGTGCATTTGAAACTGGTGCTCCAACAAGAGGTAAAAAGAAAAAATTCAGACTCTTTCTCTACTTCATACTCCCATTTCCCTCTATATGGCCTTTGATAAGCTTAGTAAATAATGAAACCACATGAATTTAGGTACCTCCCAGAATTTGCTAAAAATAAATAAATAAAAAAGATATATGATGAAAATATACACAAAACATAAAAACAAAATTTTATTGTCAAAATCTGTGTTATTAATAAGATGAAAAATCAAAGAAATTGTTTTGTTTTTTTTGTTATGTAAAAAAATTTTTTTCTTATTAGAACCTGTGACTATAGTGAATTTAAAATTTATTGGTAATTTTCCAACATTTCCTCAACAAGAGTCTTTGTAAGTAAAGCCAAAGTACCTAAAATTCAATAAAATATTAGAATGTGTAAAATAGTTAAAATCTATAAGATTATTGAGTAGTTAAAAGAATTATATAAAAAAGGTGTTTTACATTGTATTTGTCATGTAATTTTATTTCCATTGCTTGAATTTTCCAAACATCAAGCTGACAAAAAACATTCACCTCAATGTTAAATGTTTTTTTTCTAATATTCTAAACTAAAAAGTAATGTTTCAGTTCAGATTAATTAAAATTTAAATCAGCTTATTTTTCTTAAATAATGTTTCAGAAAAGCATATTTTATTTTTTAAATAAAGATAATTGTGTTGATAAATTTGTCATTATGGATGATTTTATCAAATTTTTATTGATAATCTGAAAAAAAAAAGATTCCTGATTGGAATCATTATTTATTTATTTATTTATTTTTTTTCATATTATCAATATACCAAACAATAACATGTGCAAATTAATCAAAATTAAATTTAAATTTGGTTTTGAAATGCAGCAAAGTATTTTGCTTATTGGAAATATTAAATTTAATCTATTAGCTTGGAATTTAAAGAAAAATAAAATCTTCAAAAATTCTTTTCACTTTTTTAAAATGCATTCTAAAATTTAGGTGTCACTATTTGGGGTGGGGGAGTACCTAGTATGAAATATTAGAATTCTTCCTTTTGAATATTTTCACAAAATAATGAAAATGGCACCAACAATTGCCCACACTTTTCTAAGTTGAATCAATTTTCTATGTTGATTTTAATATCCTAGTCAGATTAGGTTTTTTACACCAAGTTTTTTCTATCACAATAAAAATGATTCCCTTCTGAATGTGTTATGTATATTGTACTTAACTGGTAGAAATTAGTCTGAAATTCTGTTCTTGATATTTATAGCTGATATGATCTACTATACATTTATCCAAAAGAAGGAAACTTTTCAATTCAGTAATTAAATCATTTTATTTAGACAAAACTAATGATAATGCAACTTGAAACAGAAACTTGTTTTAAACCATGACTTTTTAATGTTTATTAATTTGGCAATTTTTTTATTTCTTATCTATTTTTGTATTATACATTTCCTCATGCTCTATCTTCATAACATACAGCAAAATTTCGTTTTCAAATTAACACTAAAGATGTTCATTCTTGTAATTAAAATTACTAGGGATAGCATTGTGGGTATGTGCACAATTTTTATTGTCTTAAACTCTCAGTTAAGTAAACTATAGCTTTATCTTTGCATAGCTTGTAAGTGAACAGTTGATCAAAATATCAATTATCAGTGCTTAATAATTCACTTTGTTGCTTGAAAAGAATTTGCTCAATTAAATGTTCTGTTGACTAAATTAAGTCTGAATTATACTTTGTCCCATCTTTTTAGCAAAAGAAAATACTTTTCAAATATTTAATACTTGAATAAGTTTTCTTAAATTTTAAAAATTCATCTATATATGTCATGCACTTATCCAGAGAAGTATGTTAAAAGATATAAACAATATAAACTTAAGCTCAACTGGTATCTTTTAACTGCATGTAGATTTGCAGTTTACTATAATTTTTCTCACTTGATTTTAACAAAAGTACAATTTTCACTTCATACTATTGTGATAATTGCACAACTCGTTTGGCACTATTAATGATAATCTTAAAAGGATTAAATAACCTGAGAAATATTTTTATGGAAACGGTTTATTTCTTCAAATTTATAAATAATTTTGTGAAATATGCTAAAATCCTTCAATTTGCCCAAGTTATCAAATTTTTAACAAAATATTGTTTTTAAAGTACAATTTATCAATTTTGTTATTTCACAAAACATTATGTATCTATTTGTCAAAAAGTCAAAATATTTGTTATTAATTCTTTTATATCTACATCTGGTCATTAAAATGGCTTTCTAATTCCTTCAGCTCTTTGGGGTATGACAATAAACTACATCTGGCAACAAGGCCTGTGATTGAGAGGTTTTGAGTAGTCTGGAACCACCTCTTAATTGCTGTTATTCCTAGGTCCACCCTGACCTGGGGTGGTAGCACCTGTTAGTCTCAGCAATGGGCAAATAGTGAATCTGCACAAACAAAACCACTATGCAAGTATAAAAGAACATTTTAATGGTAAAAATACCAGGAATACATTTTTATATAAAAACAGACTGACAATAGATAACCAGCAATACATTTTATCTGTAGTTGAAGCCATAAAATTGCATTCAAATTATTTAGATTTCGGCATTAAATAACCCATAGTGGTTGATATGCTGCTAAACAAAATTAACTAACCAATTCTTTCAGTTTTTTCCTACTACTCACAATCTAATCTCTACTAACAACATAGCACATGGTTTAAAAAGAAAAGGTTTTAACTTTAATAAATTACTAAATGAAGTTTTCACAATTATCAAAATGTATTATTTCTTAAATATGGTTAAGTATTTGAACAATCACTTTGCCTTGAATTGGTTGTATAAATTAGGATTGCACTGATTAATTGGTACAATCCCAGTAGAAATACTTGCTATTATATGTTGACAGTAGTTTTTCTTTTATAATTGTTAGTGCAGGTAATAGCTAATTTAAAATAGTTTTTTGTATGTACTTCATGCAAGAAAAATTAAAGAAGAAAGTAAATTAAAACAGTTTTGTTTTCCCATTGTCTTTTGAAAATTGCTACATTTAAAATATGATAATTTGATTGTTAATTAGATGCATTCAGTTTTAGATATTTGAAGACTATTTTTTTACCCTATGCAATCAAAGACAAACTATTTTGTTTTATGATCAGTTTCTAATTTTTTAGGAATAAAATATACAATTTTGCTTGAATAGGACATCTGATAAAATCTGATGTTTGTCAAATTTGTTTTGAGTTATGCATGAATTTTCTTTGGTTTAGAAACCTCTCGCTTATATAAGTACAGGTAATCAATCCGTTGGTATATAATCTGGGTCGATCCTGGTAATATTAGTTATTAAAACTGATCCGCAGAGAGCTCAATGTATTTATTATAGCAGAGCATATGATTTTTTTACAGCAAAAAAACAAAAAAACAAGAATTACCTCAACATAGAGGATAGTTTATTTCAAGCTGTTCTGTACACAGCTATCATCAGCCTCTAAGTCTTAGGGGCTGATGATAGCCTTGTACAGAATGGATATTGAGGTAATTTTTGGTATTCTGTTTTTAAAACATATATGGACTTTTTTTTTTTTTTTTTTTTTTTTTTTTTCTGTTGTTCACCCAATACAAGGCCCAAGAGCCATTCAAAGTAGAGGGTTACTAAATGAGGTTGTTGTAAGGGTGTACAAGGAAGGCATAGGTCGTGTACATTAAAAGGATGTGTAGGATAAATAACAGTTGATCCTTGACTTGAAGAGGTTAAGATTATAGTGATTGGAGAAGCATCCATTCACGAGTACATTCCACAATTCCACAGTTCTAGGGAATAAGCTGTCCGAGTAAAACTTTCTCTTCATGAAGGGAATGAGGATGAGTCAACTCGGTGTATGTGGCCTGGCAGGTCAAAGTTATGGTAGAACCAAGGAATTTAGTTCAGCCAAACATTTACCATGAAAATGGTGATATAGAGCAGCGAGAGGCTAGCAAATTTTTGTCTATGAGAAAGGGGTTGTAGGGTGGAAAACTATTCATCATTCACAAGGTCATGTAAAAGCTTTTGAACTTGGTCAAGGCTGGAATATGAGGATTGGACAGCTCTAACCCAGATTTGGCAGAAATACGTTTTGATCTGATCTGGCTCTTTTAAAGATATATCATTGCAGGAGGAATCAGGTATTTTTTTTTAAAAATTTTCAGCATTTTTATTGATTGATTGTAAATACAAGTTTCACTTGAGATCTGGTATGAGCTTGGGTTCCAATAAACATTTGAGGCAAGGATCCTCTTTGAGAGTACAACTGTTCATCGTGACTGGATAAGAGTCGGGGTCTGTTCTATGATGATAAGATGTTACTAGCTTGGTTTTTTGAAGTATTTAATGTTACAAGTCAGTTTCTCAGCCATTTATCAAAATCTGGGGAAAGATTTCATCTAGTTTTATTTTTCCCATAGGTATCATTGTTGTTATTAATGAAGAATATTAGGTTGTTAGCATATACCAGAAAAAGTTTATCTTTATATTTAAAGAGTGCATTAAATACTAAATATTTTTTTGTGGGAGAACAATACAATTCTCACTAGGATTACCAGAACTGGTAAAAATGATTATCTGTGAAATTTATTTTCTTTCTCTTACATTTTATTTTAGAATTTTATTTGTAATTCAATTCTAATTTGAAGAGTAGTTATAGTTGATTCTACTTATTCAATATTATATTCAGTTTACATAACAACTCTCTTATATCCGGGTTACACTGTATTTTAAAACAACTGTTAATTGTAAAACATACATTTGTAATGATTGAATTAAATGGGAAATTTCCAGCAAAAATTCAGCTTTCTATTTGTTAATTGTTATAGAATTAGCAAAGTTTTTATTTAAATCACATTTATCAGCATTTTGTATTTTTCATAGCATTGTTGTTATTCAAATGCTCCAATGTTTGCAAGTTTTATTTTTTATCTTTACATAATTTTCAAGATGACAATTGTATTTGCAAACTTTTGTTCCATTGCTTTTGCTTGCTTTTTTTTAATTTTTTTTTTTTCATGGTTCATTTTGAATATGGAAATTTGAATTTTTGTTGCATATTTTTTAATTTTTTTTTTTTTTTTTTTTTTTTTTTTTTTTTTTTTTTTTTTTTTTTTTTTCTTATTTTCCCTCCATAACTTACACATGTAACTTTAAAGTGTCTCTTGTATAGAATAACTTCTTTAGTAATAGAATTATTTAGAGTAGTATTTTTGCTCATTATTATTTAAGTTTCTGAATCACCACTAATAATTTTATTGAATTGTTTGAATGCTTATACTAAATTTGTAATGTCTCTTAATTCAGAATTTTAATATTTTGAAGTTTTTGAAAATTTTAAATTTTGCTCATAATGATTGTGTAAAATTATGTATTGTAAATCTTTAAATTTGCATGTATGTCTAGAGGATCTAGTACAACCTTTCATCTAAGGGATAGTTTGGCTGTTGAAATTTGCTTGGAATTAGTTAATCATAATTTCACCAATTAAAAGAGGAAGCAGAACATATTGTGCTTAAACTGGACTTTAACCTGTCTTAGAAATATGTTATGATTTTAATTATTGTTTACTAAAATACCAGAATATATTGTGATGGATTAGTGAATGAAGGATGTAAGGAAAATTAGGTTTTCATGAAACCTAGATCATGTGGGAGAAAATATAAATGGATAATATTTCTTTTTCATTTGATAATGATAGAAAGAACTCTACTTGAATTAATAAGAGAAATGGTTGAAATACTTGTATTTTTCTGAAGTAAGATATATATAAGAAATGTAGATATATATTTGTGCAAATCAGATGTTTGTTATTAAGTAAAATTATATAGTTACAAAGACAACTTGGAACACTGGGAATCTTTATTTACAGTAATTGGGAAATATTGTTGAAAAAATTTCTTTTTATACATACATATAAAATACTTTAAGAAAAAATTCCAGTTTCACTATATAAGGCAGAAATCAATTTTAAGTAGAACAACTGATTATGTGTAGTTGCCAGTGAAATTAAGTCATTGACTAGAATTTGAGTATTTGGGAATTTCTAGTTATAAATTTTAACTTATAAAATAATCCTCACTTTTTAAAATTTGTCCAAATCCTTTGACATTGATTAACTTGCACATGTTACTTGACTGGGATATTTAAAAATCTTTTAGAATATAAATCTTTACTAACTTAGGCTATAGTTTTTATAAGCTGGCTATCCTTAAATCCAATTTAACTTAATATTATTCCAACTGCAAAATCTAAAATAATGATAATTCATATTTAGATATTAATTTTATATAAAGATCCAATTTAGCTTTGTACAAGATTCTTGTATTCTTGTCACTCTACAATGAGACTTGATGGGATCACTGAAAAAGTCAAAAAAATGTTGATACTTTCAGGAATTGTTAAAATGTTATTCCTCCTAGTACTAATTTATTTCTAATAACTTTTCTTTTCAAACATTTTTCATATTTGTTGTTCATACAATATACAAGTACTTTGTTAAAACATTTTTTTCTTTTCCTTTTTTATTTTCAGGCTATTGATCAAAAGGCTCATTAAAATACAAAATAAGCAAATTTTTCAAATATGTAATTGTGATATTTTCTAATTCCAAATAGCTTAGCTAGTAAAAATATTGAAATAACAAATTACATTTTATTTTTTAATCTTTATACTGTTTCCATCTCATTTTCCTGTGTCTAATTCCTAAAGACAAGAAGAATTATACTATTTATTTTTTAAACTATAATCTGTTTATATCTACCTTTAGTCTTATGTTAAAAAAAAAAATACAAAATATTCCTAAATTATTCTTTTAAATCGGTATTTCTCAACCTTTTTAAGCAACGGCAATGTTTCTATTCAACTACTTGTGAAGCTTATTTAGTGTAAAACCTGTGCCTGTTTTTTTTTTTTTTTTTTTTTTTTTTTTAAATTTCTTCAATATTTTGCAGCACACTTAAGAGGATCATGCAGAATGGCAGTTAAGAATCACTTAGTCATTTGTTTTTTATGTTTATTTAAATGTTTTTTTCCTTATTTTCTTATATATTGTGTATTATTTCTTCTTTCAGGAGAATTTGACTTTACTTTTTACCAATCGAGGCTTGAATTCTTATATTGATAAGGATAAGTGCCTTTTATGTAGCTGTGAGAGACAGGATTCCTCCTCACAAGCTTCTTGGGTCAAGTCAGGTAAGTTATGTATGCGGCTTCACCTGGCACCATCTTAATCATTGAAGTCAAGGTGATGTACCAAGTTTTTTTAATGTGGTCATTTCTGCAGAAAAATATTTTTGACATCTTGATATTAATTGAAGATATAAAAAATCCCTTAACCTTTCATTTCAAGTTCAAATTCTGACAATATGTTTCATTCACTTCATGCTAATGGCCTTGATAAAGGTGTGAATTTTTCTTTGGTTGTGGGTTAAATAGCAGGGAAGATTGAACTCCCTCGCCTTGTGTGGTAGCCAGTCTAGGTGAACAAAACTTCTGAATTGTCTTGTGGGTATCTTCATGTAAAAAGACTAAAAGGTAAGCTTGTTATAGCAATTCACTGATAATAAAGAAAAGCAATCTGTAGAAAGCCATGATTGTTTATAGTCTGAAGTGATGCAGCATTAAAAATATCCATTGTTTAGTATAAAAGAGAAAAAAAATAGAAATAATACAATACCAGCAAAGACATGAAAATAGACATGAGGTATGTCAACATCGTTAAGATATCATTGATAGATTTTACAAGTGTTGGTTGTGAAGTGAGAAGAAAATTAATATTATATACAAATTATATCTGAACAAAATTGTTTATCAGTCATTGACATAAGGAAATGGGATATTATGACTAAAGAGCAGAAGAAAATGGAGCTTATAAAGTTATTCTATAATTTGTTAAAAGTATATGTAATCCATAGTTTTCTGCTGGTGACAAAAAAATCTACTACTAAACACATTTTTCTGTAGGTATTAAAAAGGAGTGAAAGTCATACCTGTTTTACTGTTGGTCTGCACTTGGGAGCTGTTCTGTGATTTTGATCTTTCTCTTCACCAGAGATGTAAGGACTGCAATTCTCAATTTGATAACTTAGATTCTCTATATATGGAAATACACAAACTATTTTATCTCTCTTTCTAAACAGTAGACATGTGACTGGAATGGGTGGCTTTTCTCCTTCCCAAATAGACATTAAATAGTAAAGTTGACTGAACTGGATGGCAGCCAGTCTATTCTGAATTAAAAACTGGAAACTGCAACAAGTAACCACTTAACTATCTTTACCAAGGTGTTATGACAATTTACAGATAAAGAAAAAGGAGTATGTGGAGACATGAATGTTTTGTTCTGAAAAGACACAGTATTAAAAAAAAAAAAAAGCAAAAGGTGGCTAATGCAGGTTGATTTTTTTTTGATTTTTTTTTTTTTTAAAAACAATAAAAACCAAACCAATAACTGTTACCTTTTGATGATTCATGTTTATTTTAAGTTTTTTAACTGTTCTTTCTTCTGTGAAGTCTAGACTGATGTATCTACTTTAGGAAGTAACTTTGGGATGGTGGGTGATATATTAATGTTTAAATCTAGAATGGCTCCATCTTAATGAGCAAGACCTGGAATAAATCAACCCATAATCTTGTTATTGCATTAAGCTTTTCCTTAAGTTGCACTCTCTACTTGGCTAGATTAGTATAAGTTGGACACACATTCCTATTCATAATAGGTTGTTGAAATGGTATTAGATGCTCTGATATTTTCTTGGCTCTTACAGATTATCTGAAATCAAATTAATTAGATACCATCTAAGGTTCTTATTCAGCTATTCAAAATACAATTTTCTTTTCATTCATTAAACTCACTTGATTGATATTGAAGGAAACTATCATTTTGGCATCTAATAATGGCACATAAAGTAAGGTTTTAATTATTTCTATAGAACAAAAATTCTTTTATTAATATTTGTTTCTTAGTTATGTCTTGATGTAATATGAGTCAAATGTACTTAACCAAGTATTTAGTTCTTGTACACATAAAACATCCTTTGGACATTTAATGATTTGGAACAAATCGAAATGCATTAGTTGGATGATGATGATGATTTTTACTTTATTTTATAACATAACTAATTTATCACAAGATATTGAATTCTTATTCAAAATTTATTACATTTATATTTTTTATTTCATACATTAAGTATTGATATTTAAACTTCAAAGTTTTAATTAGTTTGTATTGTCATTTTTCTTTACATGATCTTGTGTATCATTTTATATATTTTATCATAATTATTTAGAGGGTTCAAGCCTAACTATATACATCAGTCTTTGTTGGGGTTTTGTTAGGCCATTTTTTAATTTTTTTTTTAAATGTAAAAATGACAAATGTTTCATACACTTAGTTTTTATTATGAAAGTGTTTTCACGAAAAATTATTAACCACCCAATTTTGTTAAAATTTTCATGATATACTTATAAATATACTTTGTAGATTTCTTCTTATAATGCTTATAATTTATTATAAATATCTAAAATGACTTTTTTGATGTGGGATTTTATAGTTATTGATATTTTTTAATTTCAGATATAGAAATATTTCTATGAGTCATAAGATATAATCTCAAAAGAGAATCTGTAAAGTTTTTGAGTGATAGAAACACGGCAATGGAAATTCCGAAAGAGTTGAGCATACATTACAGAACAATCCCAAAAGAAATTAGAAACACTGGAAAAATAATAATTTAAAAAAAAAAACAAAAAAAAAACTGCCTTTTAAGAATGTTGCAAAAATAGATTTTATCAAAATTCAAGATAATTATAAACAAAGTGGGTTGAAAGAAAATATTTGAAGTTGGTATTCCAAATATAAACAGGTTTCAGAACATTGGTTTCTTTCAGTTTAAGTAAACACCCCAAAGAGAAATGGGTAGTTGGGTGAAGAATATATGGAAACTGATTTCTCAGCACTAATTTTAGGGATAAATGTAGAAATAGTCAACAAACACAATTTAGAAAACAACAGTGGAATGGCAGAATATTTTTTGGATAGTCTTGTTGGCAGTAAAATTTTCAAAATGTGAAGTAATATTATCTGAATTTAACTTCTCACTTGTAACACTCAAAAAACTTTTCATTTATCTTTACATGGCCAACTTATTTTAAAGTTAGTCATGTAAAAATAAATGTTGAGAATTATAAACTGACCTATATCACCTTGTTAAAAAAATTTCTAAAACACCAAATTAATGAAATTGTTCCTCCAGATTAATCCAATAGTAGATTTTTGAATGGAAAAATAACATTCAAAGATTTCTGGAAAGTAATAAAAAATGCAAGTAATGTTAAATTTGAAACAAATGTTAACAAAATCAGTGAATGAAAGATTGATAAATTTTATGAAATGTCAAGAAGCCCTTATTAATTTAAAATGATAAAAACAATTATTCTTGTATGTGGGATATTGTGTTCATAAAATGTTTCTCTGGTTTGTATCTTTTGAATTTATTTATAAATAAAAAATTTTGCTGTCCTTACTTTGCATAATAAAAGCTGACACCTCCAAAACAAGTGATGAGTATTTTTATAAGCTAAAATCCATATAAAATATTGCTCATATAAATATATCCTAAAAATTTTAACATCAATTGGTTATATCAATTTTATTGTGAAAACATTGACTTGTATAATAATCATTGAAAATCATAATTGATTCAACAGTTGGAAATTTAATATAGTATTTAATTAAATCACTTGCAAAACTACTACTAGCAAATATTTGTAACAAATGTAGGTGATTTAACCAAATTGTTGGAATGATTTCTGAATCCACTGTACCTTTTTATAATGAAAGATATGACCTATATATAAATAGGTTCACAAAACGGCTTCAAAGAGGAAACAAAAATCCGTGTTTAACTTTGGTCAAATATATTTCCAATGTAACTGTTTTAATGAACAAATATCTAATTTTGTAACAAACAAATTTTAGAATGCTTTCAATAATTTGATGTGTTGTAGTTAATTAAGCATTTTCTCCATTGTTCACCCATTCACAAATACTTGAAAGATTATTATTCAAAATTTACTTAATTATATTTGTGGAATTCATAATCATTATTGTGGTAAATTTGTTTAGAATATCAAGTTTCCAAAATAGAATTTCTGTTTGATGTATATCTTCTCAAATAGGATGTAAACTTTTACTTTCCGAAAATGTTTGAAAATTTGAGGAACATTATACTGAATATCATAATGAAACATTAATACTTGTATAACAAGAACATTGTTTTATTCTTTTTCAGATGTAGTAAAGAATACAATGCACCCACAAGAAGTTGCTTGCTTTTCAAAGGTAAAACTCAACTCTTTTATTGTAGAATATTGGTTTGAAATTTTTTGCTTTATTTTAATTGTAAAACTAATAGATGTAATGTAGAAATCTGCCAAAATATGTACTCTTATCTTAGAAATTATGTAGTATTCAATGAAGGAAAAAAATTAAATTTTTCTCAGATTGAAGAAAAAACTGCATTACATTATGTAGCTTTAATTTTTTTTTCATCTTTAAAGATTTTATGATTGATTTAAAGTCTTAATGAGTGAAGAAAACATTATATACATCAATATAAACATTTTAAGAAATGTCAATAATTAAAATAAGTGTATAAATTTTTCATCAATTTTTACAAATGTTTTAATTTGTGTGGCAAACTAAATCAATTAATAAATAGAAAAAGATTTTAATAAATGATCTTCAGTCCATACACCCAAAATACTTTGGAAAAACTTATCTGATGGTAATAGACATCTGTCTCTTTGTACTTTTGTGGATGTTTTGCGTTTTATGAAGATCAGCAATATTTTTGTGTCGGTTTCATGATGTATATTAATTGTGAATAGTTTTAAGATACTTAAAGTTTATACACAACAAATTCTCTTTTCTCTTTCCCATAAATATACATTTTCTAAAACTAATTTGTAATAATAATGTTACATGCATGTGTGTGAATGTGTAATTAAATGCATTAAATAAAGTCCTAATCAAAGTGATGTCTTATTTATTGCTATTCATTTGATTTGTACATAAGATTTGATTTAGCACTATCTATTCTCTATAATAACATCACATACCTTTAATACAGTACAGCATTTTATAACAAATAGATTGTTGATTGAGTTATACATATATCTAATATTTTTTTTATTTTTGTTTATAGGAATGCTTAAATGCAGCATCTTCACCAATATTAAGAGAAATTAATTCTGCAAGTACAGAGTTGAGCACCAATGGACTGGTTTGTTCCTGTGTATCATGTCTTGAAAGGAGGTATCTATCTGTTGTATGCTAGTTTCAGTAAATAAATAGTCTTGAAAACACAATTTAAATATGGGAGTTATAAAAATTCATTAATTATACAATATTAAATGTTGTAATTACATATTCAAAAACAAAAAAGTGATTTCTTTGTATTTGTTATTATCAACATATTTCAATGGCTTTGATTAATTTTGTGTGGTTTATTATAAAAGATAATGTAGAAAATCAAATTTTAACCATTCCATTTGCTGGCAAATTTTTAATACTTTATTTCTTATACAAAACTTACAGAACTCATCAAAATTCAAACTTATTACTTGATAAGTTTCAAACCATTTCAATAAATTCAAACCTATTACTTGATGCCTTTAAATTGTTAAAACAATTTTTATTCAGCACTGTTGTTTTATTAGTTTTACTTTAACTTTTATAAAGAGATCAGTTGTAATTTTGTCTTGTCAAGAGCTCATTGTTTTTTCTAGAGGTAAAACTAGAATTGTTGATAGCTTTTTAAATTAATCAACAAGTAAATAAGGCTATTTAAATGTTCAAATAAACATTTATGTAGCACTATACCATGTTTTGTATTTGTAGGCAGAAAGAAGAGGAGCATCGTAAGGAAACTTTAGATCTGCAAAAAAGCTGGTCTGAAGTACGGAAAGCTGTTAGAAGTCATTACAGTGAGTCATTGAAAGATTCAAATAATTCATCTGAAAATTCATCAGCTTATGACATGCAAGTGAAAGAGAACATTCACAGGTTAGTTTTCAAGTAATTCTTTTTGTATTTAATTAAATATTGAACTTTTTATCTAAAACAAAATATGTATGGTACTAATGTCAGTAAAGTTAATTGAATTTTTCTTTTTAATTTTGCTATCTCAGGATTGTCCTTATATAAGCACTTGTAGTTTTCTCTATTTTACTCATTTTAATTTTAGTTATTGTGAACAATTTATTTGGTTAGGTTTTTAAATAGCACAAGAAAGTGATTTTAATTATGTGAATTCATGAATGCTTATATAACCTGAATTTTATTCTATTTATGTCTTAGAAAATTTATTGAAAAATTTACAACTAATCTGAATAAACCATTTTTAATTTTTTTTTTTTCTATCTTTTCATTTTTTCAAAAGTAGCAAAGAATTCTTATTTATTTATTTTTTTTTATCTTGTCTTTTTAGACTTTGTACAAGAGATCCACATCAATTGTTTATGCGATTAGAATCTCAAGCTAAAGAATTTGTGATAGAAAAAAGAAAGAAGTTATTAGACCAATTAGACATTGGCTATACATGCCCCAATGAAGCAAGAGATTTTGTTTTCCTCCTTTTGGAAGAATATCGACAATTGTGTCAGGCTGCATCTAAAGTGTCTAACATCTTAACTGAATTGGTGTGTATAATCCTTAATTCTTTCTCATCAATTTTTCTAACTTCATATTAAAATTTATTTTATAAACAATTGTTTGCTATTATTACATTTCATAATGAAAAATTTCTACATTCTCTCTTAAATCTAGTTTTTGCCAAGATATCTACCTGCTCCACAATGATTTTGACCCATTATAGTAAACATTAATGAACATTGTATTATGTTCTCTGATTTTGTAGCTTTTTAAAATCATAATTTAAATTGTTCAATGGTATCATCTGAGATGATTGTATTTTTATTGTTGATATTTATTTTAATTAAACAAATATCAATTCTATTTAGACCAATTAATTTGTTCCATTTTGCTCTCTTTCTATCAATTTTATTTTATATATTTTTAAATATTTTTTCTTGTAGGAAAAAGATCACTTACAGAAATTTGATGTTACCTGGAACATTCACAACAAACATCTTTTTCACTCCATTGTATACACAAATCCTTCTATTCAAGACCGATTGCCTGCTGTCCTCAAGCAACTCAGGTAAGAGAAAATTTTTTTAAATAAATCCTTATATTAGGTTAATGCAAGAGTTTTTAGCATATTTTTTTTTTTTTTACCAAATTTTTATTCATATAAATTCATAACCTCATTATTCAATTCTCAAAGTATATTCTTTGATTTCTATAACCTTAGGCTACTTTGGTAAATTTTTGTTTTATGTCATATAAGAATCATTCTGGTTTTGATCACCCCCTCCTCCCCCCACTCCAAACAAGACAGTAAAGCCACTAAGACACAAGGGGTTACTGGGTGTGGAAGAATTAGGAGCAGACTCATTACTAATGAGTAGGAATACAAAGAGTAATCAGGAGGGCAGTTGATGTCTCCATGAACGTTCTAAGTAGTCCCCATATGTACAATTCATTGTCTGTCTTGGGAGGGAGTAAAACCACAATTTAAAAAAACTAGCTCTAATAAGTATTTACAATATAAAAACAAAACTATTTACAAGAAACTAAACAAAATAATGTTAGTAACAAAATCCTCACAATCTCTAAATGTGGCAGAAACATCAGTTAACTGGACGAAATTAATGCAGTACTTTAATAATATAAAAACAATCATTCCTCGCAAACACTCATTCAAACACAACAATGAATAATGAAAATCACACTAGAGGCAAAAAGGCACCCACATCTAGCAGAAGAAGGTGAGTGAGGCATTTCAACTCGGGTGCCCAAAGCCATATTGAGCAAGCCTCCTGTTTTGTAAGACCGAGCTTGTCAATCAGCTTATCAGACCCCCCTAACATGTAATATAATGCCCTTTGAGACAATGCCTGGATGTTGGAGAGGCAATCAGATGCTCATAAAAGGCGTTTCAGAGCAATACAACTTTTGTGATAAATGGAGCATTTGGCTCAGTGTAAATGGTGAGCCTCCTCCTTGCACGAGTGTACACTATTCTGGGATGGGAAGTTCTTAAGGGTGTCTTCCTTCCAAAATGTGCCCTCCTCATCCAAGTTGTGACGTATTTGATCTAGAAACGCAATGCAAAGCATATATTGAATCTCAATGTTAAGTATACCCAGACCATGTTCAGAAGGGCACTCAACCGCAAGCCAAAAGACTTATCACACTTGATCTTGGCTCCTGTCACTGTCTTGTACCCACTGATTTCTTTGTTGACTTTGTCAATCTCGGCTCTGCTCGACACAAGAATCAAAATGTCATCAGCATAGGCAGGATACCTGGCCGAAGTGGTATCACCAGGTAGGGAAATTTCATGTAGGACCGGATTCGTCTTTAACTTGCAAAGGTAAGGTTCCAACGCAAGAACATACAGCAAAGGCGAAAGCAGACAACTTTGATGCATGGAGTGAGACAATATGAGAGGCTCTGATTGTACCCCATTCACTTCCACGGGCATACTGGGAGTTGCATACAAAAGTTGGATCCATGTGCAAAAGTACAACCCAAAACCAGCCGCCAAAAGGACAGCCTCCAGAAATTGATGGTCAGCCTTATTGAATGCCTTGGACTGATCTAAATTGATCAGCGTGGCGTCACTGTTGACTTGCTCAATGATCAAGCGTACCATATGAAGGTTGTCCTGAATAGTTCTGCTCTTCACATCACAAGTCTGTTCGGAGCCAATCAGACTAGAGGGGCCAGCCTGCAAACGGTTTGCTAAGACTTTAGCCCAAATCTTTAACTCTGTGTTTAACATAGTTAAAGAGCGAAAGTTACCTAACCCATCCCCACTATTCTTGTCCTTGCATAGCAACTTGATCACACTCCTGGTGAAGCATTGCGATATAGATCCCTGCTTCACCTAGTTGCCAAAAATCAGCACCAGCAAAGAAACAAAAACAGTCAACTGTTTCAGGTACACTTCATAGGGAAGACCATCTAATCCCAGAGATTTGTCTGGGCCAACATGCTTCAGCACATTCCAGATTTCTGACTCTGTAACTGGACATTTGCACCTAGCTGCTTCAGGTGCCTCAAGGCAGGGAAAGTTGGCTATATAGGCATCGAACTGAGCAGGGTTCAGACTGGGCTCCCTGGTGAAAAATTCCTGAAAGTAATCACAAAAAGCCTCACATATGCCCACGTTTGTAGTCAAGGTTTGATTATACGGCAATGTGATGCATGTGATATATTGCTGAAATGCATTCAGAGCTTCCTCTGCATGCAATTCAGTGGCCATATTGTAGGACATTGTTTTTAACCTAACCCAAACTATCAGAGCTTGATCCTCCTTGATAATCAAGAAGGCCAACTCTGCCCTAGCTGAGGCTACATCTCTACTATCATGGGATTTAATCGCCCAATCAACTATTTTCTCACAGGCTGTTTGCGCTGCTAATCTATCTCAATTGTGCTGATGACTATAATCAGCAGCAAATGTTCTAATTTTAGATTTTAAATTGTCCCACCAGGCATTCTCAATGACAGAACCCATCATTAGTAGCAGCTAGTCCCAGAAATCTTGCTCAGCAAACAATGAAGAGTTCAATTTCCAGTCAACAACCATCCTAACCTTAAGTTTATTTAAGTTTACATAGACCCGGACAAGTCTATGATCTGGATACACTATGTAATGGTAACTTAGACTAACACTTGGTCAAGGTAGCTAGAACGCACCTCTGTAGCTGAGCCTCCCCTATTAGTCCAAGTCCATACTACCTCCCGAGGGAGTTCATTATGGAACTTATTTACAAAGTCCTGAAATGGTTACACATCTCGATTGTGAGTACCCGAATTTGGCCCTATACTATCTATACTGGGACCAAGGATAGCATTCCAATCCCCCACTAAAACGACCCAACGAGATGTTGTCAAAAACAGCTTGATCTGCCAAAACAAATCAGGCTGTTCAGAATGGACATTGGGTGCGTAAACCCCAATGAGATGAAGACCCTTTTCCTTTATGGTAACATCCAGCATGCAAAGTTTGCCTGCCAGATCTGTGAAGATGAGCACATGCAGCCTTCGAAGACTTGCTCACCAGCCAAAAGACACCTCTTGAGTGTCTATCAAAACATGCTGAATAGAGGGAAAACCCTCTGGACAGAATGTCTTCATCTTCACAAGAAGAAAACTGGTTCTCCTGCACACAACATATATTCACCCTGAGTTGCTGAAGGTCACAAGAGAGCCTTGCCCTGCGAGACTTCAACCTCAGGCCTCTGTCATTCACACTAGCTAACCAGTGCCATTATCAGTCTGATTAGGGTTGCCTTCTGCATTGAACATGGCTGGATGCCGATGGCCTGTTCCATTGATCCTGTGTTCATCTCAGTATTGATGTTGCCAATGTCCCACGGGAACATTAATTTTAAAGCTCTGTACGGGGTGGGGGTTTGAACAAAAACTGGGATCCTCCCTGAACAAAATTAAGTTTTTGTGCTGAGACCTTATTAAAGGCCAGAGGAGGAAAAGTTTCGAAAACGTCATTAGCATCCTCCATCATCTTCCAAATTTGTTGAACTCCTGCACCACCAAGAGTCTTTTTGTGTTTGGGAAATTGGATGAATTTTCTACTTCCAGTCCATTGATGATGATGATATTACTATTATTATTATAATATATTTTTTTTTTCGTTTATTAGTTTTTTAAGTCCTTGATTTTTCTCACCCTATAGCTTTTTCCTGCTGTTCCCGTGATATTCAGCAGACGTCTTCAACAGTATTGAAGATGGGTTTTATTTTCTTTTTTGAAACCAATTCAACTGAATCTGTGCATGAACTTCTCCGGTGTTTAGGCATTTTGGATTTCTTTTGTGGTGTGCTGATAGGAGTAATAGCCAGGGTAGATTTTTTTTCTTAGTTGAAGGTTTGGGAATGGGGGCCTATTTTAAAGTGGTCATTTTTTAAAGAGTTAGAGATAAAGTATTGACTATTGGAAGAGGAGCCATGGGGTAATGTTTCACAGATGGGGAAGATGGTACTGAATAAGATGAGCCAATCTTTTTCTCTGAATGGATGCGTTTCTCCTTTAAAGCATCTTTTAATTGCTGAAGTTTTTCTGCCTTCTCAAATATTTGAGTTTTTGCATCCTAAGTGTAACTTGTTGGGGGAGTCACCTTTAGCAATAGTAGAGGGAGTGGTGCTGTTTGTGCCTTTTGCCATAGGGACTTCAGTGGAACATGGTCCCACTGTCCGGAGCTTCCCTCTGGCCCTACCAATGACATGCCATTCCTCCTCTTCCTTCTCCATAACTGTACGAATTGCAGGCGAAGGCTTTTGGGGAATGGGGGTTGTGAGACAGACCTAACCGGGGGTTTTACCACACTAGTCACAGTCACTGACATGCCTATTACAGGCGGGACGGAATATACAGACTTGACCAAAGGGAGATTTATGTGGTCGGTGGCCAGAATTCCAGAAGCTTTCCTCTCTGGACAGGAAGAGAAGAGGTGACCAGTCTCTCCACATTTCCAGCAAGTTAGTCTATGGCTGGTCACAATGATTGTTATTTTCTGGCCCTCTACATCTAGGCAGTTGGGGATGGAGACGAAGGCTTTTCAATCAATCATCAACTCGAAGCCCCATCTCCTGGTCAGATCGTCAGAAGAGGCACCAAGTATCTGTCTAAATTAGCACAGATAAGTAGCCAAATGCCCCCCAATGATCTGAGGGGGAACCTCAAATACTGATACATTGGGTCCGGCACTTGATCTCGTATTCTGTTTGAAGAATAAGGTTTTTTCACAGTTGGCAAGCGTAGGCAACAGTATGTCCCACATAAAGTATCCCTTACCTTTAATGACTTGTTGAGGTTTGGTCCCCAGTGATGTCAATGATTTGATTACAGTTTCTTTTGTGGAGCAATAAATTTTGTGCAAACACTTGTCCACCATAAAGCTGACACGATTCTTTAATCAACTTTAAATGGGTTTAGCCAAGAGTTCATCTTTCGTAACAAGATGATCTGCCTTGAGGAACTCCATCATGTTGATTTTGCATTAAGGTTTTCTTGGAGATTTAAGCCTTTTCAGCTTCCACACTTTCCTCCAAATTCTTGGTTTCAAAATTTTGGCCATTTTCAGCCACCATAATTTTTGTGGTTTCCTCAAGATTTGGAAAATTTTGAGATTTTTCATCATCCACCTTTCTTTTTTCATTGTCATCAATGTTAGTGTCTTCAAATTGCTTATTGGGTGGGTCTTTTTTTTTCTTTTTCTTTTTTTCCTCATAAAAAGGAAACAAAGTTAATTAAAACAAGAAAGAAAAGATAAATAAATAAAAAAATCAATTTCCATTTACAGTAAGAGAATAAATCAGATTTAACAAGACAAAATGAAAACGCAAAAGACAGTCAAGAAAAACTAAATACAAAATTAAGACAACTTTTTTTTCTTTATTTTTTTTTTTTTTAAATAATACCACAGAAAAAAAATAAAATGATATACTACAGAAAAATACAAAACAAGAAATAAGTAAAATAAACAAATTTACAAAGAAAAACAAAGAACGAAGTAACACAATAATATAATAAACAAAGTCTGGCATGGATAAACAAAAAATTAACACACAGAATAAATAAAGTCTAACAAGTGGGGGGATACTGAAAATTAAAACGGAAAAAATATATTCAAAAAATAAAATAAAAGAATAAGAACAAGGGGTAAAGTAATAAAATGGGGTTGGGGTAAAAAATAAAAAAATTTTTTTGCAAAAACAGTAAAAAAAAGAATGTAAGAAAATGTAAATTAAAAAGAACTTAACATAAACAAAATGTTATAAATCAAAACAGTTCAAAGCATGGCCGAAATACGTCTGGTGACAATTGTATATGGTCTGAAAAAGATAAACTCTCTACAGAAGTAACATAATGAAGAGCTTATCTAAACAATTACCATGGAAGTGTTTATAGAAAAGGCACAGGGAAGCAACCTTATTCAGTGGGAAAGTGATTGGAACCAAACTACCAGATCAGGACTGTTAATATTACTGATTTTTTGGATTTTATCAAGGAGCTCATGGTAAATAGCAAGGACAGTGGACTATGTGGCTACAATATTTTCAGCATGGAAGAATGGTAGACTTATAGATATGTATGATAGATTCTAGAGAGAATAATTGTCTCTCACGACAGTGAAACAGGAGTTTCCTAATAAGCTGATAGAACGATCAGACATTTCATCTGAGTTCTTAAAAAAACAAAATTGGAACAACAGATGATTGCTTACAGGAGGCAGTGAGGCATTTATTATACCGTTTAGAGAGAACAGGAGTTAGTTTGGGAGCATATTTCTTAATGACTATTACAGGGATACTATCTTGTCCACATGCTTTGTGTGGATCTAGGTTAGAGATGATAGCAGAAACCATGGAAGGGATTATATGCATATCATTCAACAGAGACTCAGTTTTAAGTGCGAAGATAGGCAGGGATAAGTCAAGAGTAGTGTTTAAAGAGAATTTACAGGCAAAACATTCAGCTTTGATAAATTTTTTATCTTGCACATTTTTGGAACTGTTGACCAAAAATGGAGAATTGTATGGTGTAAAATAAGTGGTGGTCTGGAGAATGTGCCATATGTGGAAGACTTGTCATTCAGAAAAATAACTAGTTCAACATTTCGTCCACCAGAAAATAATTTTTATTTCAAGCAATCATTCAAATGAGTTGGCTGATTCACCTTTGTTTTTACTGCAAGCTCTTTTTTTAGTTGCTGTGCTGCATCTTTCAAAAGTTTCTTTCAGTTAACCAGTTTTTACATTCTGATCTTTCTTTTGTTTTTTTCTTTAACTTTGCAAATCAATTCCAAATAACTTTACCAAAATCTTCAGTAATACTTCTGTTGCACCTTTGTTCAGATTAAACATGTTCATTTTATATCCAACCATGATTTCTCCAAAAAGAAATTAAATTTATCATTGCTACAGAAACAATTCAGAAACAAAAGAGTACACACACAGAAACCATAAAGAACCAAATAACTTCAAAGATTCTAACATTGCATAGAAAATAGTGCCTTGAACTTTTGTTTCAACATAGCATTTATTACACATAATCACTTATTACTTTGACAGTTATTAGTGAGGTTCACTACCATCTGAGCATAATCTTGAAATTGAATATCTTCATGGTTTCCACTGGAATTCTTGCAAGCAATCCATTTTCTTACTACTACTAGTTCACTTTCATATCTAACAAAAAGCTAAATAAAGTCTCAAAAACTACTAAAAAGGCTACTTGGCCTGATCAAGGATGTTATTCTCTACAAATAAATCTGATATAGTGATTTTCCAAGCATAGCTTAGATGTGGCACAAGGCCGAAAGTATGGGGCTCCCAGTGATCGAACTCACGACTCAGTTGTAACTGTTCTAGCGAGACAAGCTTGCTAACCATTACACCACCTCGAGGTGCCCCAAATAAATCTGATATATGGTCAGCATAAGAACACTTCAACAGTCCTTTGGCATTAGGTGGCAAAAAAGGTTAATTTCTGTAATCAAAACCCCACTTTCTTAAACCTGTGATGTAATGTTATAATTTGTTCATTATTTTGCAACAAGCTGCAAATTAAAACATATGTTTGCTGACTTCAATGTCCACTTTTATATTTGCATATGCTTTGTCCCTGATAGTGAACAATTTAATCCATAAATACAGCATACCTTAAAACACACACTATATATATATATATATATATATATATATATATATATATATATATATATATATATATATATAGATTGTTGGGTGCAAGATTGGATGAATTTTGAGTGGAGTTTAAATTTTTTTTTCTCTCTCTCAAAAAGAAACTTTTTCTTGTATATTAAGTTCATTCCTAAATAGATGGTGGTGAATATTTTATCTGTACAAAGCTTTAAATTTTAGCTTTCAAGTTTTTGTTTTTTGTAAATATTAATTTCTTGAATCTCTTTTTCTCTAGCTCTGCTTCTTGTGATTCAAATGTTGTTGAGGCATATCCTAGTCTGTCAGAAAGATGCTGCAAGTTTGGTGAAGAGATGGAAAAGGTATCTCTAATGTGGAAAGGCAGTCAAAAACTCATAGCATCATATAATGAGGAACAAGTATGTAATCAAAATCTTTTCATTGCTGATATTTATTTTAATCTGATAATGTATTCAGTTTTTTGACCTTTTTTTTAATTAAGCATTTTTGATCAAGTTAATTTGACTATTCTCCATTGAATCTAATCATTTTTAATTTATAATCTTTGTATGAGGATCTGATATATAGATTTTAATTAACATATTTACTCATTAGTCAAATTCTTTTCTTAAGTGTTACTGCTTGTAATAAGTGATCTCTAAATTTACATTTACTAGCAGTAGAGCCCGGCGTAACAGTAAGAGATAGATCAAGTATCAACCATCATAAAGACTGAAAAATAAAATTGACAAAGATTATTGTTTAAGGTTGACAGATACACATCTTACTTAGTTTTTTTTTTTTTTTTTATGAATTTGGTCAAACTCAAACAAAAGCATTGTTTTCAATCGTTATGAGTCTACCGATTGAATAGAATTTTATTATAAACAATTGTCTTGTAAATGGAATTTTTAAAGCATTCTGAATGTAAAAATAAAGAAAAGTGTGCAAGACAATAAGAAACACTACCTGCCAAAAAAAAGTGAAATTTTGTTGAAATCGGTTGAAAAATGTAGGAAATCTGATCCCATATATAAATGAACACACACACAAACAACCTGGGTTTTATAATAAGTATAACTCGATATGAGTTGTCCCTCTTTCATTCACATGACAGTGATGCTTATTAATTGTGTTTTCAAATCCGATCCCATATATAAATGAACACACACACACACACACAAAACAACCAACCTGGGTTTTATAATAAGTATAACTCGATAACTCAATATTAATAAGTATGACTCAATATGAGTTGTCGCCCTTTCATTAATTGATTTCAGACAAAAACAATTGTGTTTTTCCAATTTTTGGCACTGTTAGAACTACCACAAGGTAATTTTACATAGTCCTGTGAAGTTTTGTTGAAATCGGTTGAAAAATGTAGGAAATCCGATCCAATATATAAACGAAACAGACACACACACACACACACACACACACACACACACAACCTGGGTTTTATAAGTATGATTTTTTTTTGTCTCAATGAAAGGAACATGTGAATCTCCCTTCTAATATTTTGGAGCTTTTGCTTTTAAAGCATTGTGATCCTCTGTTTCTGTTTGCTTTAGTAAAAACAAAAAATAGTTCAATAGAATTTTCCCATTTTCAATTATTTCTGCTGTTGCTTTAAAACTGGCTGCAATGTCTAAGATTCATATAATTTATTCATCTGGTTTTTGCTTGTCAAATTTTAATTCCCTCATCTTTGCTTCCTGTTTTGAGATGAGTTATTCATAAAAAGGGGTAAAATTTTCTCTTATTACATTTTGTAAAGATATTTATTTTTGAATGCTTTCAAAACTATTAATTTTTCCTGTTTTAAATGATAAATCTATTAGAATTCTTAATTTGTATTCTCTTTATTTTCCAGATGCAGGTAAGAACCTTGATGTCATCTTTTGATAGCAGCAACTGTAGCCGTTGTGTCAGGGTTCCAAGTACTACCTTTTCACTTGTTTTGTGAAAAAACTTTAGAAATATCTTTTCAGGCAATACTTTATCTTTAATTCTTTTTTATGTATGTTATGATTCATTAAAAAATAAATCAATACTGCTTTTTCTTTTATTCTCAAAATATTTTCTTTTTTGTCATTGTCAAGTTAATATTTCTATTTTTTTCTTGGTTTTTAATAAATTACCTCAGCAGTGATGTCTGTTTTCATATAACTTTTCTAAATGCTTGCTTATGTATTTAAAATGGCTATTTCTTTTTGTTGAGATTGTTCTCAGTTAATCTGATATCTCATATTATTTTCTTTTTTGTGTTATGGCTGACTGAGTTTTATAAAGTGTAGACCACATTAAAGTATTCTACATTAGTGATATCACTGTTTATTGTCCTATCATTTTCACTTTTTGTTCTCTTTCCACTTTATTTTTAGTCAGTGTTTATCAGTTATATTTCCTTAAATCTGTAACAGTTAAGCACAGTTTCTTTGGAACTTTATAAATTTATGCCATTTAACAAAGACTGGCTTTCTGTAGAGTAAGAAAAGACAAAAGAAAAATAAAGCTGGATATGATAAATTTGTAAAGTAACTGACCTCTTTGAAAATTAGGATCTAATTCTTTATCTTTCTACAAACTTTTCATTTTGAATAACCATAACTTTTGTTTTCTCTTCACTACATTATATATTCTAATCTAACAGCAATAGATAGGCCACTGCATATTTGTTTATTACATTGCATCTGAGAGATTTTACTATTCTAATATAACTGGATGATGGGTTTAATTTCTTTCTTTTTTTTTTTTTTAAGAATATATTTGATAATGTGATATCTTTAATATTAAGACTTTTCAGTGTTATTTAAAAAAAAAAAAAAAAAAAAATAGACTTGTTAAGATACAGAAAAAAGTGCTTAAATTTCTGTACCAGGTTTCTCTTGTGTGACTCAGTTTTTCATTAGTGTGTCACTTAATACTTGTTTTGCTAAAATGTTAGATTTTGAATGTTAATTTTATTCTGAGAATATATTCATACGAAATTTGTCCAGTAATATTAAGCAAGGGCAGTGCATAATTCTCCATGCTCTAATTTTATAAAATAACTCTTTACTATAAATTTTAGTACTTATTAAATATTTTATTTGTAGCAATGCAATTAATTATACTATGAGCAGTTTTTTATTTTTTTAATTTTTTTTTTTTTTTTTTTAATACAAAAATGAAAAATATTCTCTTTTATTCAGGCTGCACTAAAAATGAAACATAAAATGCTAACTGAGGATTGGGAATTCTTCAAGAAGCAAAGAAAAATGCTGGAGAAACGAACCTCTGATTCTTCTAATCCTTTCTTACCTAACAGGTATGTAGAATCCATTAGTTTTCTTATATGAAATAAATTTTACAGTTGAATATATAGGAATATTCTTGATGATTTCTCCTTTTATGTTAGCTGTCCAGAATGAGAAATCTGAGCTGAGTTTGAATCCAATTAGGTTTGTTACATTCACTCCTGTGCAAATATGCTTGAGAAAAGTATGAATACATCTTCTGGATTAAATAGTAGAACTTATATCTAAAAAAAAATCTTTGTTATTCTCTAGAAAATTACTAATACAATATTCATTCATTTAAAAAAAAATGTTCTTGCAATCCAAAATATGTTTCAGCTTTAAATAACCTATAAATACTTGATAAGCCATGAAAAATCTTTTTTTTTTTTTTTTTTTATAAAAAGTAGTTTTGGCAATAGATTAATGATCAATTTCAGTTTACAATAGATTTTGTTGAAAATTTTCAATTTTAGTTCACTTCTTTCAGAAAAATTTTCAAGCTTTTCATTTAAAATTGTATATTCTTGAAATTTTATACTTTAGATGATTTTAATTTTCTGCTAATTATTACCTTTTTTCTTTTTTCTATTTTAATCCTTGAATATTTCAGGTCTCTTTCTAACGCTTGCTATCTCTTTGCCTGTAGTTGTCCATGTCATGAAAGTACAAGTGAATCTGTCAGCACATGTTGCTGTCGGCTATTGAATGAGAAATGTGAGAATGTAAGTCATCACCAACCAATAAGTTTGCTGCATGACCCAAACCACTGTGTGTTGGATATTAATCCGCCTTCCATATCCAGCACTACCTCCAGCAGTGGTTCATCCAGCCCGATCATAGATTCAGAAAGACTACCTGTAACCTTTGGAGAATGCACGCAGCCATTTGAGTAAGTGTTGCTTGTACAAATTTTCTCTTCATTTTTTTTCTTTACTGCAATTGTTACTTTTTCTGCAATGCTTTGATATTTTTTTTTTTTTTTTTTTTTTTTTAAATTATAAGCAATCTCTTCAGAATAGAAGAAAATAGATAACCAGTTGTCAGAAATGTTTTACTAATACCGGAATGGATTTCAATTCAGAACATCCATTTTGATAGGCTTAATTTTTACTGGTTTTGGATTATTAAATAGTTTGATTTAATGAGTTTAATAGTTAATGAATGCATTTCAAATACTGTAAATGGAAAAAAAAATCTCTCATTTTCTTTTAGAAATGGTGGTGCAGAGATGGAGGACAGTCAGACTGATGATGATGACTATCAGGAGGAAGAAGAAGAAGAGGAGGAGGAGGAGGAAGAGGATGATGATGATGAAATTGAGGAGGAAGATGTAGCTGTGGGGTTGGAAACTACTGATGATGTTCTTCCTCCAGTAGCTAATGGGAATTTAGATATTTCTATTGTATCATGGACAGATAAGAAACAAAAAACAACAGAGTCGAGTGTAGATGAAGCAAAGACAGACAATTGTGATTATCATCATTACATCTCTACTAATCCTGAACAAATTGTAAGTAGCAGCATTTACACATTATCAGAAAAATAAAAATAAAAATGCACATTTCTGTGTTTTCTAAAGACACTTAACACATTATTAATGTAGCAAAGGGCTGAGTATTGACACTTGGATGTCACAGTCATTCTCTAGCCTTTACAGAAATTGTATAAAGCATTTACAATGTATTCACCAATAGCAGCTATTATCCTAAGGAAACTTAGATACTTTAAATTATTTTGAAATAGTTTGCTTATCAATAATGAGCAGGAACAATATTGCAAAACCCGAATATTAAATTTATATTTTTACGTTGTGCTTTATATTGAATGATTAAAACTGTTTATTTCAATGTAAGGGTAATGAATTTTATTTTGCATAAAAATGTAAAATTTATCCTTTCTCATACACAAGAAGGAATGGAAATAATTATAGTAAAAATACTATTTTTGCAGAGCTGCTGATTGTCTTTGGCTTTCTCCAACATTTAATTTGGGTCAGCTTTTTATATTCAGGCCTTTTTTCAAATCTTTGAATAAACAAAATATAGACAGTTTGTTTTATTAAAGTGTTTGGCATACCCTCTCTTCATAAAGGCTAAATATTGTATTTATTGTATTTCAGATAAAACCTGATGATAATCAGTGTCAGTGTCATTTTTGTTTGCGTCAACGTGGGAACACTGTATCAACATCTCTACCTCAGCATGTCCCGGTCCTGCCTCGGCCTGCTCACCTCCATCTTTATCCTCACATCCATGGCCCTTCAGGATTGCATGCTTTGCATGGGAGTGCTGGCTCCACAAGTAGCAGTAGTGCAGCTGCCACCAATGGCAACACCAATAGCCCAAGTGCCAATACCAGTAGCACCAGTGGAAGTGCTGGCCCCAGCAGCAATAGTGGAACCTCTTCACACACGCGACCCATCCTTCAGCACCAGTGGGATGTTGAGGTGCAACTTCAACAAGCTCCTAAACTTATCATCTCTCCTCAGTCCAAGTTGTCTTTACCATTGGATGGCTTTGGCACTTCTTCGTTAAATGATCATGAACACACTTATCAGGGAGACTGGGACAATACCCAATTTGACCCCAGATTGCTGCTCAGTCCACACAAGTATGCCGACAACCTAGGCAATGATTTGCTTCCATGCACTACATCATTGGCCAATAGCTCCTCGCCATCATCTGATTCTGGCCTATCCTCTCAAGGAACTGTGATTGATAACCCTAACCCCACATTGACTACAAATCGTGTTTCATCAGGTCTTGACACTTCTCCTTCAGTTGAGGTCCAAGTCAGGGTACAACAGAATGAGATATCACAGCAGCACCGTCACCACCACCATCATCACCACCAGCAGCAGCAGCAGCAGCAACAGCAACAACAAGCTCCTCCTCCTGCCAGCACCAGTTCGTCTTCATCCTGTTCATCTTCAACGTCATCCTCCTCAACGACAGAGACCTGCAGCAAGGCGCACAAGTGGAATAGCCAGAATGGCACCTCCAAGAACCATTCGTGCAATCGTCCAGCCACCTTGGGGGGTAACAGTTCACCTCACAGTGAAAAGGTCCACACACAAGTTTGTAAGAAGCATGGTGCTAACTCTACCAGTGGAGAGGTAAGTTCTTAATCTTTAATCCAAAGTTGTTATTCCAATACTTTGCACACTAAATAAGTGATAAACTGATCTTGTTGAATTGGATTTCAGATAAGCTCAAGAAATGGAAGCATTGTGAAGGAGGATGCTGCACGCCAGTCTCGCTCTTTTTCTAGCAATATGCTCAACCAGTACTCCTGTACACATGCAAATAATAGCAGCAATAGTAGTAGTGTGCGTAATGGCACTAATCAAGTATATCAGGGCTCCAGTAATGTGGAGCCTAGCTTGTGTGTCAATGCAGTGTCACTGCCAACCACCATGAATAATGTAAGTGTGGGAACATCGACAGTTTGTACAGATCCTGAGTGTTTGGTCCATCAGGAGGACAATGAAGACAGTGTGGATGACAGTTGCTCTGAACAAAGTTCTTCAACTTCAGCTTCCAACCAAAAAGAAGGCAAATACTGTGACTGCTGCTACTGTGAATTCTTTGGGCATGGAACTGTAAGTTTGTTTTTATGCTTTATTGAATTTTTTTTTTTTTTTTTCTGCTCCTCATTGTTTTGATGTGCTGGCAAGATCACTGATTGTTACTTGCTCTTGTCTTCATGCTGCTTTTATTTGTTCTCAGTGAATTCTCTCTGATTTTGTAATTTTAAAATTAACATTTCTCAAGTCAGTCATATAAATTCCATGAATGCTTTCTAATTTTAAGCGTTTATCATCTTGGATAATTTCTTTTGAAACAATATTAAATAAATAAATTTCTTTTGATAAATATAGTGTGTGAATTTACCTGTAGCTAATTTTGTTGTGTATTTATATATTTCACACATATCAAAATCTTAATATAGAATAAAGTGGTTAATAAAATTATTTGATTATGATTCATTAATAAGATTATAAATAATACTGAAAAATATTTTATTTGAAACGCTTGGGAATATTTTATTCATTTTAATCATTTAAAGATGAATTAGCATAATTGAAAATCAGAAAAAGTTTTTTTTTAAAAAGTCATATTGCTTGATTAAATAATTGTTTAGTTGTGTTTCTTTTACTAGCATTCATTACCACACTAAAATAGGAATTGAATGGAGTATATTTCAAAATTCAAGCAAAGAGGTATGAACTATTTGATAGGAGTATGAGCTGTTAAATCTTAACTATGATTTTTTTTATTGAACATTTAAAAGAAACATTTTGAAAAAAAAAAATTGAATTTTCTATTGCCAGCCTCCAAAAGCACCAACCAGTCATAAATTTTATGAAATGCGAGAAAAATTACAGCAAAAGCTAAAGAAGAAGGTAAAACTTATTATTGCTCTGTGTATTATCAGTACCATAATATCAAAAAAGGAAGTGCTTTAAATATTAAATTTACTATAAGCTGTCTTCTACAATCTGCGTTTGTTTCTCATGCATCAATTTAAAGTTATGATTTCTTTAATTTTGACAAAATAGCTTTGCATAATTGTGTTATTTCAATGTCAGCTTCGAGTAGATACAATTGCCTCTATATGATGGGTGATGAAAAAAGCCGAAAGTTTTCAGTCTGACCTACTTTTCAAAATCTGACCAAGCATTAGATTTTTTTTTTTTTTTTTTTTTTTTTTTTTTTAAGAGCTTCTTGGCCAGACTGAAAATTTTCATCACTTTCTTATACATTTATTCTGCCTTGGCAGCAAGTTATCCATCAAGTAAAAAACTGTTATTTTGATAGCTTTTCTTGTATAATATTGATATGTTCTTGCCTCTAAGTAAATGGTCTTCATGTGTGTCTTGTGTATGTATATTTCTAACTAATTCAACTTGAGTAATATTTTTGCAACCTGGTATTATTATGCAGAAAAATGACCCCCTTTTAAATGGATACTTTTAATTTTGAAGGCATTATTTCAAGCTGGTCTTCATATTCAAATGCATTGTTTGGCTACTTTGGATTAAACCACTCTTCCTACCAAAAGAAAAAAAAAAAAAAAAATGACTATAATGTTATAATGTTCAACGAATAATGTAGTTTTGGTTGATGTTTCATTTTCACCCAGACATTGTGCAGATTTGGTTATAATAGAAAATCCTTTTTCCATCACAAGTGATGATGTAAATCGGGGTTTATTTCTTACTGTTGAACCTAATTAATTTCAGTTAGTGAGTATGATCTTTTTTTTTTTTTTTTTTTTTTCCCATTTGCATTTATGAAGATTCCTCCTGCCAATTACTGAAAATGATTTAATCAATTAAATTTATATTTGTGATTTCTCTCATTTTTTAAAGATCATTCTTAATGGTTTTAGCTAACCTCTGTTTTGGTATTTCTGAACTAAAATATCTACACTCACTATTTAATAACTAACAATTTTGTTCCCAAATGTAAAATTTATATTACCCACTTCTTCCCATCTAAAATTATAAAAATGGGGAAATCAAAGGATTTTACATGTTTTTTATAAATTGGATCAAAGTAGATAATTATAACATGCTTGAATTTTCATTGATTCTTCTCTAATAATAAGATTGTGTGTAATTATATATATTTTTAAAGATTTTTAAAAAGTAATTTGCTTTGCAAAATGCACTTCTCTCCTAAAGTCATTGACTTTAATCAACTCAAACAGCAATTTAGACTAAGGCAGATCACCACTAGTGTTATTTTGTGTCAATATAGCCAGAAATGCTAGCAAATATGAACAGGGGAAAATAATGGATACTATAAATAAATCTATTAAATTGATCAACATTTTATTGATCTATTTTTCTCAAGATATTTGGTTGGTTTAATAGAATTTTAAATTCAGATTTTTTTTTTTTTTTTTTGCAATGTTTGTTTAACTGAATTATTTTAACAATTAGACATTTACTGGTGACTGAAATTGACTTTTTTTTTTTTTTTACTTGATTTCCTTTTGATATGTATATCCTTTTGGCTGGTTAGAAACTTGATGTTATATGGAGATCTCTTATTTACTGTCATCTTCCAGAATTATTTATTTGATTAGAATTTTTGCTTCTTTGTAGAAAGAAGCAATGGTACAGAAAAAAGATGATGATGATCAGATCCCTGACCCACTTGACCAGAGAGGCCTGGATGATTTAGTGCGTTATATTAATGGTTATGAAGATTCTAATTGGGGAGCAAAATCTACCAACAATTCTGAGAAACCAATCAGTGCCAAGGCAGCCAAACGAGCTCGCCAAAAACAGAGAAAGGTTAGTTGGGCAAAATGTTTTTATTTTGATTTGTCAATTTCAAACACCTTGGATCTAAAATATTCAAATCTTAATAAAATTCATTACCTTTTGATTGTGTGTAAACATTTATCTGTAATATTTCATGACTCATTTAATTTGTCAAAAGCTGATTTTGTGCTATTTCTGTGAACATTTAATACATACTTATTTTTTTATAAGTAATCCTATTTTAGATAAATGTTATATGCATTTTGTTCAATATGTCTGAATATTTGTAACTATGAGAGGATACTAAAATGTTCTCAGCCCAACTAAGAAGAGATTCCAAAATGAATTTTGATGTTTGGTTAGATTTTGAGAAGTGAGTCTAGCAAAACTTTTCAGCACCTACCTTGTATATTAACTTTTAAAATTTACAACCATTAAAAGAAAGCAAAATTTTATTGTTATATTAAAACTTTATTTTTTAATCACCATTTAGGCTGAGGAAAAAGCTAAGCTTGAAGCCCAACAGTGTGTTAAGAACTGTATGGTAGTTGATTATGCCAATGGCTGCCAGATTGCTCAGCTATACAGCAACTCAAACATTTTAGTAAAGTTGAAAAAGAAACGAATAAAACAAAAGTTATTGGATTTGCAAAGTGTTTGCTCAGAGGATGATGAACAGCTGACAAATCATCAGAATAATCAACACCATCACAACCAAAAGGATGATACCAAAAAGTGCTCAACTTCTGAAATTAACTGTCAGCAAAATTCCTTGTCTTCTTCTCCAAAATTGAAGAATAAGAGCACCAGTCATCGCAAGACAGAAATACTTGAAAACAACTGTCAAAAGCAACAGCAACCGGTGCAATCTTCAGTAGATATCAAACTAACAGCTGAGATAAATGCATTGTTAACAAAGAAATATCAGTCAAAGAAAAGTAAAGTTACCCGAAAGGCTGCCTCCAACATTGGTGTTCTTTCCAAGAATGGCTCATTGTCATGTTCTCAGGAAGAAACTGCACCTGCTTTAGTTCCTAACTTGATAAATTCTACTGGAGGAAACAATGTGAATAGCACAGAAAAACATAAAAGCAAAAATACTAATTTATCCAGTAATTCTGTGAAAGATTCTACTGATCATAAGAATAGCCATGAAAGTAATAACAACAAAAAAAGTAAGAAATCTCTGGAAAAGTCTGGAAGTAGTGGGAATAAATTATCAAATGGAAACTGTAGCAAGTCTGCTTCTAAGACTCAGAATGATATCCAAACACGGGTAATGGTTAATTCAACATCATGGCAACAATGTGAGCAGAAATCCTCCAAAGACCAAGCAGTGAAAGAGACTTTTGAACGGAAAGTGGCTGTGGATGATAAAAAAGGCTTGAAAAATAAAGATGGAGATAAACGATTGGAAGGCTCTTCTTTGGCTGATCAGGTCAGTGATGTTGCAACTTTCTTTTAATTTCTCGACATTTTTACTTGAGCAGCCGTTTTCATTAATGCTAAAACAGCAGTTTTTTCTACTCCCTTTTGAGTGCAAATCAGTAGAAATTTATTTGGAACCACAGACTTTGGATTTATCTTTTAATCCATTATTAGCTTCATACTATTACAGTTTATTGGGATTTCATAATTTCTTTACTTTCTGACACTGCTTGGCTCACATATGCAATTAGATTTCCCAAATAAAATTATCTGGAATTTTTGTTTCTTTTTCTAAAATAACCAACTTCTCATTTAACAATTTTTTTTTTTTTTTTTTTTATCCGAGATTTACAGATCCCAAGAGTATCTCATGATAGATTTACTAGTGTAACTCTTTAAATAAACTTACCCAGGTACACTTACAAAAGAAAGAAAAATCTTTTCTCTGAAATTCAACATATTTATGTAATAGTGATTTTCCAAGCGTAGCTTAGATGTGGCACAAGGCCTAAAGTATGGGACACCCAGTGAGGATCGAACTCACTACTCAGTCATAATTGTCCTAAGCTTGCTAACCATTACACCGCCTTGAGGTGCCCAACAAATAATAAAGTTCTTGATCTAAATTTTTTCATGTATAATTTATGCTTGAAAAATGAAAAATATTTAAAATAGGGCTAATGAAATCAAATTATAGAACTTGTCAATTTGTATTGGCTTTTAATAGGGCAATGCTGCATGTTGTAACTGACTTTAGTTATTTTATACTTTGTCTCCTTTATATTGGATGGAAGCTTTATGTTGAAATTAACTACTCACTATTCTGTAAATAGCAGTTTAAATTTTATCTTTAAATTTTTAAAATATATTCCTGAATGGGTTGAAAAGACATATAGGACACATAAGGTTACTGCTTCTTTGAGCTTAGTACTTACATTATATGTGCCATACTTTGCTGCATAGAGGACTGCCTCTTGTCAGATATTAGTGGACTAGTTTCATTCTACAGAATTAAAGGTAATAGTCATTTTCTTATGTGGAAACATTTGGCATTCATTGACTGAGTAGACTGCTACTTTCGGTTGAAATTTATAGAATGTTTCTCTTAAAACAAATTTTCTGGAAAATTGGTTTCTCAAGTCCAATAGCTGTTATTGCATTTCCAGTATTGATAGGGAATTCATTCCTGACATTTTGTTTGAAGTAGTGAGGTGTGTCAATTAAATATTAAAAATAATTAAAAGCTTTTAATTTCATTTTTATGTGTATATTTCCAAATCTGCAAGTAGCACCTGTTCTTTATACATATTAAAACTGAAATTTAAAACTGTTTTATAATCATTTTAATATATAATCTATAGTGTATCAATATATATATATATATATATTTTAATATATAATCAATAGTGTATCAATATATATTTTAATATATAATCAATAGTGTATCAATATATATTTTAATATATAATCAATAGTATCAATATATTTTAATATATAATCAATAGTGTATCAATATATATTTTATATATAATATATATAATATTTAATATAATATATAATATATATATATATATATATTTATAATATAATATATATATATATATATTTTTAATATAATCTATAGTGTATCTATATATATATTTAATATAATCTATAATCTATATATATATATTTTTATATAATCTATAGTGTATCTATATATATATATTTTATATATATTATAATCTATAGTGTATCTATATATATATATTTGTATCTATATATATATATTATAATCTATAGTGTATCTATATATATATTATAATCTATAGTTATCTATATATATATATATATATAATCTATAGTGTATCTATATATATATATATAATCTATAGTGTGTCTATATATATATATATATTAAATCTATAGTGTATCTATATATATATTATAATCTATAGTATCTATATATATATATATCTATAGTGTATCTATATATATATATATATAATCTATAGTGTATCTATATATATATTATAATCTATATCTATATGTATTATAATCTATATATATATATATTATAATCTATAGTGTATCTATATATATATTATAATCTATAGTGTATCTATATATATATATTATAATCTATAGTGTATCTATATATATATTTATAATCTATAGTGTATCTATATATATATATTATAATCTATAGTGTATCTATATATATATTATATCTATGTATATATATATGTATAATCTATAGTGTATCTATATATATATATAATCTATAGTGTATCTATATATATATTATAATCTATATATATATTATATTATAATCTATAGTATATCTATATATATATATATATAAATCTATAGTGTATCTATATATATATAATCTATATGTATCTATATATCTATAGTGTATCTATATATATATGTGTATCTATATATATATTATAATCTATAGTGTATCTATATATATATATAATCTATAGTGTATATATATATTATAATCTATAGTGTATCTATATATGTATGTATGTATAATCTATAGTGTATCTATATATATATTATAATCTATAGTGTATCTATATATATATATAATCTATCTATATATATATATAATCTATAGTGTATCTATATATATATTATAATCTATAGTGTATCTATATATATATTATAATCTATAGTGTATCTATATATATATTATAATCTATAGTGTATCTATATATATGTGTATTATAATCTATATATATATTATATATATATAGTGTATTATAATCTATAGTGTATCTATATATATATATAGTGTAGTGTATAATCTATATAGTATTATATATATATAGTGTATATAATCTATAGTGTATCTATATATATATATAGTGTATTATAATCTATAGTGTATCATATATATATAGTGTATTATAATCTATAGTGTATCTATATATATGTATAGTGTATTATAATCTATAGTGTATATATATATAGTGTACATATTATAATCTATAGTGTATATATATATAGTGTACATGTTATAATCTATAGTGTATCTATATATATAGTACATATTATAATCTATAGTGTATCTACATATATAGTGTACATAATTATATATAGTGTACATATTATAATCTATATGTATATATATAGTGTACATATTATAATCTATATGTATCTATATATAGTGTACATATTATAATCTATAGTGTATCTATATATATAGTGTACATATTATAATCTATAGTGTATCTATATATATAGTGTACATATTATAATCTATAGTGTATCTATATATATAGTGTACATATCTATATGTATATATATATATAGTATATTATAATCTATAGTGTATCTATATATATAGTGTACATATAGTGTATCTATATATATAGTGTACATATTATAATCTATAGTGTATCTATATATATAGTGTACATATTATAATCTATAGTGTATCTATATATATAGTGTATATTATAATCTATATGTATCTATATATATAGTGTACATATTATAATCTATATATATATATATATAGTGTACATATTATAATCTATAGTGTATCTATATATATATTATAATCTATAGTGTATCTATATATATAATCATACATAATCTATAATCTATATATATAGTGTACATATTATAATCTATAGTGTATATATATATAACATATTATAATCTATAGTGTATCTATATATATAGTGTACATATTATAATCTATAGTGTATCTATATATATATATTATAATCTATAGTGTATCATATTATAATATTATAATCTATAGTCTATATATATATATATATATATCTATAGTGTATCTATATTTTGTACATATTATAATGTATAGTATATATATATAGTGTACATATTATAATTATAATGTATCTATATATATAGTGTACATATTATAATCTATATATATATAGTGTACATATTATAATCTATAGTGTATTTATATATATGTTTATGTTATTTAATACTGTTTATAAAACAGAGCATTTGCTTAAATACTTGTATCTATAAAATAACAACGTTAAACATAAAAATATGTCTTTAATAAATAAATTGTCGGACCTTGTCCATTTCTTTATATATATATATATATATATATATATATATATATATATATATATATATATATATATATATATATATATATATATATATATATATTATAATCTATATATATATATTATAATCTATAGTGTATATATATATATATAATATATATATTATAATCTATAGTGTATCAAGTGTATTCGCTAGATAAAACCATAAAGATATTTGTAAAAATAAAATGAATTAATTTTCCTTGTTTAGAAGAATTTTATAGGCAGAACACTCACTCAACACTAGTGGCTAAAAAAGAATAATTTTTACTTTGGATTTAAAACAAAATGACTTCCAATTTTGAAAATGTGCACATTTTAAAACCGAGATTAAAACTTACTTTATTTTTTTTTTAATATCTAATTTTTTGTATTTTCTAAATAGAAACATAATTTTATTTGTAGGAAAACAATTTTACATTAGAGACTTGCATATCTGGAAATATACACATTTTAAAAGTGAAATTAAGAACTATTTTAATTACATTTAATTATATTTAATAATATCTAATTTAAGTGCATTCCCGAGATAAATTTATTAAAAAAGATCTTCATTCATTTTTCTTGTTTACAACAACTTATTTCATGATTGGCATATTGGCTTACTAGAAAATAATTGCATCTGTCATATTTCCTTTTTTTTTTTTTTCTTCATTTCTTTTGTAAACAAATAGATTTCACATTTATTTCCTAAGACTAGTCAAATGTTTTTTTAACAAATTTTGTTCAATCTTTTTCTCTTATAATGGTATTAATCTTGATAAAATTTAATTTTATTAACATCTGAAAGCCTTTTTCAATAGTGTTTCTTTGGATATGGTCACTCAGTAGAGATATAGCACTTAAAAACCAAACAATTTCGTAAAAAAATTTGATGCGGTTTCACGATGTGAAGATGAAACCGAAAAAAAAGTTAGTTTTT